TGAATAATAAAGGTAAATATCACTGAATAAATATCAAATGAATAATCCTGGCCAGTGAGAATTTCTGCCCAGTTTCATTCCATGAAGATTATTTTTAAAGTAGATTTCTTCATTCATCATGAAGAAATATGCATGACAAACTTGAACCAAATGCCTGAAAAGTTGAAATGTATTAGAAAATTCTAGTAGCAAATAATAACTGATTCCAACTACTTCATAGCCTGAGAACTCACTTCCAGACTTGTGAAAAATGCTTCCTTTAAAAAACAAATTAGAAATCAACAACAGGCAGAGATTTTGGAAATTCACAAATATGGGGAAATTAATACATATTTAAGTGAATGAATGAATGGAGAAATTATAGAATGATTGAAAATAACACAAATAAATAATAAAAAATTAAATTAAACATATCTTTTAAATTTGTTTTTAGTAGTGACTTATAGTTTTATATAATTGTGAGGTTCATTTGACATATTAATAAATGCATATAACATAATTTGTTGCATTTTTAATTCCCTATACTGATTCCTTCTTTCTTCTCTTCTTCTTCCTGATCCCCTTCCTATCCTTTATTGCTCTTTCTTCTAATAATTTTGTTTAATAATAAGAAAGTAAACTTTTTTTTAGTTGTAGATGGACACACATTTATTTTTATTTATTTATTTTTATGTGGTGCTGAGGATCAAACCTAGTTCCTCACACATGCTAAACAAGTACTCTACCACTGAGCCACAACCCCAGCCCTAATAATTTATTTTTTAATTGGTACATTATAATTAGACATAAGAGTGGAATTCATTGTGACATAGTCATACATGTGTATAGCATAGTTTGGTCAATTTATTTCAGCAGTCCCTTCACTTTCCCAGAAAACATCTATCTTAAAAAGGGAGAAGCTGGGTGTGGTGGTGCCACAACTAATTAATTCCAAGGACTCAGGAGGCTGAGACAGGAGAATTTCGAGTTCAAAGCCAGCCTCAGCAATAGTGAGTGCTTAGCAACTCAGTGAGACCCTATCTCTTAATAAAATACAAAATAGGCTGGAGGGATAGTAGAGGATAGGAAAGGTAGCAGAATACCAACAGTTACTAATATGGCATTATGTAAAAATGTGGATGTGTAACCGATGTGATTCTGCAATCTGTATTTGGGGTAAAAATGGGAGTTCATAACCCACTTCAACCTAATGTATGAAATATGATATGTCAAGAGCTTTGTAATGTTTTGAACAACCAATAAAAAAAAAGAAAAAAAAATAGGCTGGAGATAGGGCTCAGTAGTTGAGTGCCACTGAGTTCAATCCCTGGTACCAAAAGAAAAGGAGTGGGGGAGGAGAAAGACCTCAGATCATTGGAAAAGATGATTAAATTCAAAGCAAGCAAAAGGAAGGAAATGAAAAGACTAGAGCAGAAAAAAAAATTTTCCCCCTAGGGATAAGAAAAATAGAATCAACAAAACCAAAAGCTGATTCTTTCAAAATATCAACAAAGTTAACAAACTAATCAAGGGGGTAGAAATGAGAGAGAGAGAGAGAGAGAGAGAGAGAGAGAGAGATGCTCACATTACCAAAATCAGGAATGAAAGACATGTCCACAGCTTGGCATGGTAGTGCAAACCAATAATCCCAGTGACTTAGAAGGCAGGAGGATCACAAATTCAAGGTTAATCTGGCCAATTTAGTGAGACCCTGTCTCAAAATAAAAATATAAAAGGGCTGGGAGTACAATCAGTAGTAAAGCACCCCTGGATTAAATCCCCAGTACCACAAAAGAGAGCCGGGGGAGTAAAAGAGGACATCACTATCAACTTTATAGAAATAAAATGGATTATAAAAGGTGGGTGTGGTGGCACACCCATAATCCTAATGACTAGGGAGGCTGAGGCAGGAGTATTGCAAGTTTAAGGCCAGCCTCAGCAATTTAATGAGTCCTTAAGCGATTTATAGAGACCCTGTCTCAAAAAATAAAAAGGGCAGAGGATGGAGCTTGGTGATAAAGCAGCCCCCTGGCTGAATTCCCAGTAGCACCAAAAAAAAAAAAAAAAAGAAGAAGGAAGAAGAAAGAAGAAGGAAGGAGAAGGAAGGAGGAGGAGGAGGAGGAGGAAGAGGAGGAGGAGGAGGAGGAGGAGGAGGAGGAAAAAATGTAAACCTACCAACAAGTTAGGTAACCTGGATGAAATGGACAAACACCTAGAAACACACAAACTCTCAAAACTGAATCAATAAGAAATAGAAAATCTGAATGAAATTATTCAATAGATTGAATCAGTAATCAAATACTTTCTCACTAAGAAAATCCCAGGCTACATGGCTTTCCTAGTGAATTCTACTAAGTGCCCAAAAAGTAATTAATATTAATCCTTCACAAACTCTTGCAAAAACAAACAAAAAACCAGAGATGCCTGGATTTCCTAACTTATTCTATGATATCAAAACTAGATAAAGCTATCACAAAACCAAAGTTATCAAGAGAAAGAAATTTATAGACCAAAACCCTTTAGGAATAGAGTCACAAAAACCCTCAACAGAATATTAGTATGTCTAGCAACATACAAAATGGATTACATACCATGACCAAATGTAATCCAGGTGTAAGTTTGGCTTAACATATAAAAATCAAAAGGACTGTGTGTGGTGCTACATGCCTGTAATACCAGTGACTGGGGAGGCTGAGGCAAGATTTCAAGTTCAAGCCCAGTCTTGGCAATTTTGTCTCAAAATAAAAATAAAAGGGGCTGGGGATGGGTTCAGTGGTAGAGAGTCCCTGGGTTCAATCTCCAGGACAACGCCCCTGCCCCCCAACAAAAAATAAAGAGAGATTGTTAATGTCGATGGGTCTTCTTTTTCAATGATGAAAATGTTCTGCAATTAGATAGTGGTGATGGTTGCACCAGTTACTAAGTATACTAAATTACACACCTAAAAAGAGTAAATTTTATGGTACATTAATTATATCTCAAAGAAGGTGTTATTAAAAAAAATTCTCGGCCAGGTGTGATGGCGCACTCCTGTAACCCCAGTGGCTTGGGAGGCTGAGGCAGGAGGATCTCGAGTTCAAAGCCAGTCTCAGCAAGGACGAGGTCCTAAGCAACTCAGAGAGATCCTGTCTCTAATTAAAAAATACAAATTGGGCTAGGGATATGGCTCAGTGGTTGAGTGCCCTTGAGTTCAATCCCTGGTATTCCCACAAAAAAATGTTCTGAGGTGCTCAGTGACACACACCTATAATCCTATTGACTCAGGAGGCTGAGACAGGAGGACTGAAAATTGAAGGTCAGCCTTGGCAATTTAGCAAGGCCCTAAGCAACTTAGCAAGACTATGTCTCAAAATAAAAAATAAAAAAGGGCTGGGGATGTTGCTCAGTGGTTAAGTGCTCCCAAGTTAAATGTTAAATATCCAGTACTAAAAAAATTTAAAAAGGCAAAGTTCATATGGTTATTAAAGATGATTAAATAATTGTTATATAGTCATATATATTATTAATTTCCAATAAACAATACAATGAATCATGTTAAAATCTTAATAAAGGCAAATAGATACCATAGTGGTTTTCTTTTTTATATTTATTTTTTAGTTTTTTCAGCGGGCACAACATCTTTATTTGTATGTGGTGCTGAGGATCGAACCCAGGCCGCACGCATGCCAGGCGAGTGCGCTACCGCTTGAGCCACATCCCTAGCCCATAGTGGATTTCTTGATCATCTGAAGTTGGTTATATTATACATTGCCAGATTTAGCAAATAAAAATATAGGATACCCAACACGATTTGAATTTCCAATAAACAGTATTTAAGTATACCCCAAATATTGCATGAGACATACTTGTACAAGAATGTAATTATTTATCTGAAATGCATACTGACACATTTTATCTGGCAATCTTAATTATAGAAATAGATTTTATTAATTCTCCTTACAAAAAGTTGCTCAGAATATCAATAGAATATAAACAGAATGGGTAGTCGTAAGTTTGTGTCTTGGTTGGTCACTGAATAGTAGGAAGTTTCCAACAAACTCCTAAAATTGGGTTGTCATATGACCAGATCCTAGGTTATTTTTAGGCTGAGGTAAATGGGATCGTTTTTTTTTTTTTTTTTAACAAGGATTGGGAAAGAGTCATGTTTATTTAGGAGGGAGGAGAGGGTGTGATATATATTGCCACAGGGAAGATCACCTCAAATACACCATTATTATACTTATCTCTCCCACCCCAGGGAAATATATGATTGCCTATTAGATGGGAGAAGCCAGAGGGCTCTGTGTTTGAATGTGTGAGCTGAGTATGTCAAGGCGAGATGGGAAACTGACCTTGCAATGAAGAGGCTCATTGGAATGAAGCACAGATACTTCAAACTCAGCACATCCAAAACTCCAGTCATTATCTTAGCCTCGAAATTCCTCCATACTTCCTAAGTTCATTCATGTATTCAGTAAATATTGAGGTGGCCATTAATTGCCAGTATGTGCTGGCTCTTGATATTTTTTCTCAGAACTGGGGATGGAAGCCAAGGGTGCTCAGTAACACCTTTTTATTTTTTATTTTGAGACAGGATCATGCTAAGTTGCCTAGACTGGCCTAGAACTTGGCGATCTTCCTGCCTCAGCCTCCCAAGTTGCTGAGATTGTGTCCAGCTATGTGCTGGCTCTCAAATATGCCCTTGAGCAGAAAAGACATGGTCCCTGCTCTCAGAGAGCTTACAGCAGAGCAGGGGAGACAACCATATAATCACAAAAAGACTAATCACACATTATTACTATGAAGGAAAGATGTTTGAGGCTATAAATCTTTGGTCAACTTGGTATACTAATACTGGTCTCTACCTGACAACTATAATGATTAGACACTATTATTACAATATCCTAAGAATAAACCTTTTTAAAGAAAGCACTATAAATTTTACTATTTAGGGGTACAATAGCCCATTTAAACTCTAATTTCTGGGATTTGGTGAATTTATATTAAGTTTAGCAGTGTTTGTTACAATAGGGACTTTCAAATTCAACATTTATGTATTTTTTATTAGTACGGGAAATCTTATTTATCATTGTGCAAAAAAGTAGAAGCAGATAATTTTGCTTGACAGGTGAACTTCTTCCATGTTCAGCCCATCTTTTTCTTTTTCCTTAAGTTTTTCTTCAGTCCATTTTTCAATGGTGATTATACTCAACTGCTCCTGTGCCATCTCCAGTCCAGAGGTCCTGAGAAGTTGAAGGGCAAAACTGACTTCAGTAGCTTACCGCTATTTAATGATGGGAGGATCATTTCTAGGAAAAGTACTATAATGAAAAAGGGACTTTTAACTATCTGGAAGAGTTCCACAGCACTTACCCAGCTTCCTCACTGGGGTCAACCCCTTGACTCCCATCCTGTTGAAGGACAGGCACTTTTGCCTGGTCTGCAGCTGCTGGTTAACAGCTGTACAACCTCAGAGCTCAACACTTTTATGATGAGCTCACCGCTCCCAATTAAAGAACCAATATCGCTATGTTCCAACACGGCTTCTTGTCTTACAAATGTATCTGGAACTAATGGACAGAAGTACTTTCTACTTCACAGGACTTTCTCAACCCGATTTTGGCAATTTTCTTCTCACTACTTATTACCCCCGCCCCCGCCCCGGGGTTCCGCGCTTGCAGGGCAAGGGCTCTACTCCCGAGCTGCAACCCCAGACCCGTCTCACCAATCCCTTTCTCCCTCTTTTCCTCATATACCACTCGATTACCTATCAGACCCAACAGTTTAGCCCTTTTTACTGGAGAATGAGAGAGCCGAACTTGAGGGATGAGGTGATGTTAAAAATGTCTTGGGGTCGGGGGAGAAGGGGCAGGTGCACTAACAGGATCCCCGGGCAACCTTCCTCCAAATGGTCAGTCCCAACGCTCCGTCCTCTTCCCTTGGACCCGGCTACCACAATCCCAGGAGGAGGCGAATCGAGCGAGGAGGACCCGATCCTCGGCCCGCCGTTCTCCTCCCACCTCGGGCCTCATTCTGCCCCGAACTCGTCTAGGCGCTGAGCCTCCGGGCTGCTGAGGAGCCGCGGCGGCGGCCACTTTGATTGTTACGCTCATTCAACTTCACGGAGTGCAGGAGGCCGCCGCCCAGCGCCGCCCGAGTCCCGGCGCGCGAAGGAGCTCAGGCGAGCAAGGCGCAGCCGTCGCCCGCGGTCTCCAGGCAGCAGCCCGCGTTCTTCCGGCAGCCGCCCGCGGTGGGGGAGGGGCAGCGGCGCCCGCGTTCTCCCGGCCCCGGCGGCCGGCGGAAGGGCCGCGCGTCGCGGAAGCGCGACCGCAGCTGAAGATCAGCTGCTGAGGGAGGCGGAGAAGCGGAGGGAGGAGCCTAGGGGGGAAGGGGAGGGAGGGGACCGTCAGGAAGCCGCGAACGCCACCGAGTGTCTGCACACCTCTCTCTGTCTGCCATGGCTGGTTAAAGAACCATCCGGATCGCAGCGCGGGGGGAGGGCCGGGTGGGGGGAGCGGCGGCCGCGCGTGAGGCCGAGGGAGGGGCGGCGGCGCGAGCGGCGGCGGCGGCGGTTCCAGCATGAAGAGGAGAGCTGGCCTGGGGGGCAGCATGAGGTCAGTGGTGGGCTTCTTGTCCCAGCGGGGCTTGCATGGGGACCCCCTGCTCACTCAGGACTTTCAGAGGAGACGCCTGCGGGGCTGCAGAAACCTCTACAAGAAGGACCTCCTCGGCCACTTCGGCTGTGTCAATGCCATTGAATTCTCCAACAATGGAGGCCAGTGGCTGGTCTCAGGTAAATCAACCCCCTTCCCCTCCCCGCGCCTCCCGGCCCCCTTCCAGCCTCCCCTTTCGCTCTCCCTTGCCACCCTCCTCCTGCCCTCCGTCCCCACCCCCTCCCCTCCAGCCCCTCTCCCGGGGTGGGAAGATTTGGTGTCAAATTAAAACCATTGCAGGGGGAGGGAGGGAGGGAGGGAGGAAGGGGAAGGAGAGGATGTCTTCTATATATATATATATATAAAAGACCTAAAATGGTTGACAGGTCCTTAATTCGCTTTATCCCAAGTGCAAAGTGATCTCCCCTGACGACTGCCGCGGGAGTGTGGGTCGCGGAGGGGTGCGAGGTTACCGCTTGACAAAGTTTGATGGCAAACTCTTCCTCCGCGTACTTTAAATGGTGCGGGGGGCATTTTGGGGGATTTGGAGGGGGAGGAGGCCGAGGTGCGCCGGAGGCAAGGGGGTGTTCGAGCCCCCGTCGCTGGTGTCATGGAGAAGGGACCGAGGGCCAGGCGGTTACAGGGCCTTACGCCCAGGGTCCAGGGGCTTCGACCTGGGGCTTGGTGGGGTCGGCCGAGGGGAGGTGACTGGCGGGTTCCTGTTAGCCGCCCCCCCCCCCCCCACCCGTGCTCTTAGGGCCCAGCTCCATCTCCTGTGGTGCCGTGGTTGCCTCTTCCGCGACTTGTTTTTATTATGGTTTCGAGAGTGACGAGGGCTCTGGAGGCTGAGGGACCCCAGCCTGAACTTGAATGCGCAACTCACTAGGCAGGGGGTCGCTGAGCGACCCCCGGGAGGCTAGTTGGCGGGAGCCAGACGCCCGCATCCCTTTTCCCCCTGAGGTTGCCCTTGCAGGTGGTCTGTGCTTCTCCTCCCCCCCTGCCCAGCTGGGCCTGATTGCCCCCAAGTTCCCCCTCCGGTGTGGGGAAAGTGGCGAAATCGAGACCGGGGCTCCGGCCGGACGGTGTAGGCCTCGCTCTCCCGGGGCTCCTAGCGACAGGCAACTGAATCGATAGCCTATTGCTCCCGGGGAGGCCCCGGCCGGGCTGGCGGCGGCGACCGCTGCCCCGGGCGAGGTGCGCCAGCCGCCGTTGGGGGCGCTCGCCGCCACCGCCCCTTCCTCTTGGGGGTCGTGGCCCGAGGCGAGGCGGGTGGGGATGAGCTTACGCAGGGGAGGGGGCGGCTCCCCGAAACCCGGCTGAGAGGAGGAGGGCGGCCGGGCGTTCCTGCTCTCCGCCTGTCCTCTTCCGTCCCTTTTCCTACATTGGGAAGGATGAAGGGGGAGCCCAACGCTGGACGTGGCGCTTAGCTGCACCCAGGTCGATCCTCAATGGCTTTCTAATTTGCTTCAGTAGGCGGCTCGCCAGAAACTTCTGGGATCATGGCTTAGCATCTGTCTTAGTAAGTTACAGTCGGAAGTGACTTGGGGGGTAGGGTCCAGTTTGGGGGTACAGAGATAAGGCTTCTGTGATGTGATCATTGCACGGTAAACCTGGGATTTCTCCAGAACTGACCTGACTTTTCCACCCCAGATCGTTTTCTCTTTGACTATGTAGACTTTGGCCCTAGAACATCAGCGGAAGAAACCTGACATTATGCTTCAAACAGACCCCCCATCCCCGAACAAAAGCTTCCTTCCCCTACACCTCCCGTATAAATTTTTACCCAATTTCAAGACACAAACGGAGAGAAAATCTCTTTATTAAAAGAAGGAACGTCCAGTTTTCCCCCAGTTGCTTCTTCTGTATTCATAATACTCATGTCTTCTCAGACCGATGTATTCCAACAGAGGTGTTCCCAGACACAAGTCAACTTTTCTGCTGACCTGAGGGGAATATCAGAGTACTCTTTCACAGTCAACTGAACTAATCATGTTAATTAAATCATTAACTACTCACACATTGCCCGGTTTAACACATTTAAAAAAATACGTTTATTGAGAGATAATTTACATAACAGAATTTACCCATTTAAAATTGATACATTTTAAAGAGCACTGAAAAGTTCTCTCCAGTACTCGCGCACTGTGGCTGCCTGTAATCCCAGCGACACAGGAGGCTGAGGCAGGAGGATCACAAGTTCAAAGCCAGCCTTAGCAATTTACAAGACCCTATCTATTTATAAAAGAAGGGCTGGGGATGTGGTTCGGTGGTTAAGCGCCCTTGGATTTAATCCCCAGTCCCACCCCTCCCCAGAAAGAAGTTCTCCATATTCCACCAGTTATTACCTCCCATTCTCTCTGTGTGTGCAGGGCGGGGGGGGGCAGCGGGGAGGGACCGCGAGGGAGGAGAGGACTATTGCTGGCCATCAAACCCTGAGAGAACCTGGCGCATGCACGCTATATCTGTAGCCTCACTCCTCTTATCCTTATGCAGGATTTTCTGTCTTATGTGAACCCCAATTTTTTTTCCTTTAGCTTAATTTTAGCCTGTAGAAGAGAGGGTCCTTTGCACAGGGCAGGCTCTTGTTCTAGGAATTCATTTCCTTACTTTTTTTGGTCTGAACTACCGGTTTCCATTAGTGCTTCCTGGGTTCCAGACTCCTTTGCCCATTGCTCCTCCCTCCCCCACTCTCCTCTCAGTTCTTCCTGTTTCCTTTTTATCTACTTCTGCCCTAGTTCTTAGTCCTTCCAGCAGGTTTTTCCACTGACCCCTCAAGTTTGGCTCCAAAGAAAATAGTTTTGTTTAAAGCCTTTTAAGCCATTTGCCTTCCATTATGAGTACAGCTTGTTAGAAAGTTCCTCCTATTTGCTTCAGATAAGGAATCCCCCTTTGGGAGTTGTAATACACCTTAACTTGGTTAAAGCCAATTAATTTTTTTTTCCTGGAAAGTCCTTCAATAATCTTCCCAAGTTTAAAACGATTTCACCAGCCATGTTTATGTATTTTTTTCTTATCTATCATTATCACTTACTAATTCACAGTAGATTGGTGGGATGCCAGATTCTGGGAGGTTTTAAGATTTCTTTTGTGCATTTTGTTGTTTTGTGTCTTGCCTGGATTAGTTAAAGCCCATTGAGGGAGGCAATTAAAATGATAGATCGTTCATAGTTTGTTCAGTGTTTTCATTTACTAATTGGGTAGCTCACATTTTTTTCTTTTTGTAACTGACACATAGTATTTGATAGAATTAACTTAGACCCAGGGCAAAAATAATATTTGTATGATTCTTGTGACCATATAAGATGCTATTAATTATGGGTTTTATCAGGCCTGCAGTAAGAGTAAACCAGAGAAAATCAGGACCCAGAAAAGTGCTTTATTAGGAAATAAGATTATGGCAGTGACAAGTAGGAGAATGGTTATTTGACACTTGAAAACAATAAAATATTTCAATATAAAAAGTGTTTTTCTTTGTTGTTGGGCAGAAAAGGGTGTCACTGTGATACCATGTTAAGGCAGTGTAATATAGTGGACATGTCATTAAAATCATTGTTGTCATTTAAAATGTGATTTTTTAGTTGTTACTAAGCCTCTCTGAGCCCATTTCCTGAGGTATACAGTGGGAATACCAAGGCCTACCTGAAGGGCTGCTGTTAGAGCTATGTTAGGCAGGGTTCAGCACAAAGTGCCAGGCCTTTCAGAGCAAAAGCTGAGATTTTCTTTCCCTTTTGTGCTTATAACATATGGTGTCATTCATAGTTGGCACTTGTTCTTAGAGGATTGGTAATAGACCTGTGCAAACTGGGTAACCAGGATAGTTTTGTGACTTTTAGATGAGAAATAAAGAGGTACAATGTGGTGTGGAAAGTACCTGGGATTTGATGTTATTTGATTTGAGTTGGAGGCTCTTCTAGTCACAGATTGTATGAATTTAGCCAAACCACTTCATTTCTCATCCATAAAATGGTTGTAACAGATTGCCCTAACTACCTGACAGGATGGCAGTAAATGGTCAATGAATGTTATATGTGAAAGTGTTTAATAAGCTACTTGTAATAAATAAATGTTACTTTTTATAAGTCCAGCTTATGCTTGATGATTATTGTCTTTTCTTAGAATATATGAGTATTAGTCCTTTAAAGGATGAGAGAACAACATTGTTTGTTGAAGTGCTTCTTACAAGAGATCTTAACAACATTAAGGAGGTTGGGATACTTTACATATTTTGGGGATAACTTGTTTTACCTTTTAGGTGTTTGGTTGCATTTAGAATGTACTTTAATTATTATTGTGCTGGAGATTGAACCCAGGGCCTTGAGCATGCTAAGCACATGCTCTATCATGGAACCACATCCTTAGCTCCTAGTATGTACTTTAAATTGCCTTCGCTGCCTCCTCTTATGCTTTTCCTTTTCCCTATAATGGGGTCCTTTATATATTTTCCTTTTTTTGCAGTACTGAGAATTGAATCCAGGGGTGCACTACCACTGAGTTAC